CCTCCTGGGGCTGGGGACACCTCACACTGTGCTGGGTGACAAAGGGGGCCTGTCCCCAGTGCTGGGGAGACATCACAGTGGTGCTGCTGCTGGGTGACAGCAGGGACACCCTCCCGGGGCTGGGGTGACCCCACACCTTGCTGGGCACCCCCCACACCCCCAGGATCCAACCCAGGAATGTGGCTCCACGGCTGCCCTGGGGGATGCTCCTCGTTCACCCCCTGGAGCAGGATCCACCCCTGGCTCTCCCCAGAACCTCATCCCCACCCTCCTGCTCCCCCAGGAGCCAAGCCCTGCCCCGCCATAAGCCCACAGCCAGGGGAGCTGGGTCGAGTTTTTTGGGGAAAATGAGACTAAAAACGATGGAACCCAGCCAGAGATGCTCCTGTGAGAGGAGCCTCCCCCTGCAGCCCCCACTCCCTGCTCCTCATCCTGCAGCACCGTATCAGAGCACCCCGGGGGGGGTTCTGCTCCCTGAGAGTGGAGAGGTCACAGATTTTCTCTGCATCCACATGGGAAGTTTTCCACTGTCCCAGCACGGCCCCCAAGCGAGGTGCCAGGTGGGGGTTGGGAAGCTGGAGAAGGAAGCAGGGAAGTGGGAGAACAGGGGCACCCCCGAAGCTGCCAGAACATCCTCCCACGGGGTCGTGTCCTCGTGGGGATGGGCTGTTTGAGGAGGTGACTCCACTCCTGGAACCCCATCCTGGCCCTACTCAAAGTGTGACCCACCCTGGCCCATGTGAGAGACTCCTCCCCAGCCAGGGGACACCCCCTGATCCCATCCCCATCCTGGGACATCCCTCCTGCGCAGCCCCAGCCCACAGGAATGTCCCAGTTCCTCAGGGGGACACTCCAGCCCCACAGGGTTCTCCTGGTACTCCAAGGGGATGCCTTTCCCCACCAAGGGGGTGCTCTGGCCCCCAAGGGGACACTTCAGCCCCCCAGGGTGCTTTGACCTCCCAAGAGGACACTCCAGCCCCCCGGGATGCTCCTGGGATCCCAAAGGGATGCTCTGGCCCCTGCAAGGAGATGCTTTTCCCCCACTAAGGGGATGCTCCCAGCCACCCAAAGGGATCTCTGCCCCCCCAAGGGGACACTCCAGCCCCCCAGGCTGTTTCTGGCACCCCAAGGGGATGCTTTTCCCCACCAAGGGGATGTCCCCAGTCCCCCAGAGTGCTCCTGGTGTCCCAAGGGGACGCTGCAGCCCCTCAGGGCGCTCCCAGCCCCCCAGGACTGGTGTCCCATCCCATCTGGGTGGTCCCAGCTGCTGCTCCAGGCTCTGTCACCGCAGGGCTGTGGCTCCCGTGGGCCTCCCTTGGCCGTCCCAGCCTCCAGGATCGCTCAGGCATAGGATGACAAAGGGAAGCTCACAGGGGGCAGGGGCTGCGGCCCCACACGCCGAGGGGCTCCTGTGGGTGGAGGAGAGACATGAGGGGAAGGCAGGACAGAAGAGCCCAGGGGGCTGCAGGATCCCGAGGAACTGGGGGATCCTGAGGAGCAGGGGGATCCCAGGGGAATGTGGGACCCTGGGGAGCTGGGGGATCCCAGGAGAGTGTGGGGATCCCAGGGAATTGGGGGATCACCCAAGGGGAGCCGGGGATTCCCAACCTGCCCCACGTCTCCAGGGGGTGAAAACCCACCCATGGGTCTCCCCAGTGTGACCCCACCAGTCCTGGGGACCCCCCAGCCCCTGGGGGAGGGGGAGGTGCCAGTGGGGCCACAGCCCAGCAGGGACTGGGAGGGTCTGTGTGTGCCAACCCCGGGGGTGAGGGGAGGGCACCAGATGGGGGGGTGTGCACGCGTGTGCACACACATGTGTGTGTGTCTGTACACGTGTATGTGTCTGTACACGTGTGTGATGTGAATGCATGTGCACGTGTGTCTGTGTGTGTGCCTGCAGGCTCACACACATGTGTGCACACATGTTGGGGGGTGTGTGCACACGTGTGTGGGTGCACAGCTCAGAGCTGGGGGGGGCCCATCCCGCGGGTGCCCTCTCAGTCCCAGGCTCCCTTCCCGGGACCCAACCCAGCCCAGGGACCTTCAGGGACCCCCTGACGCCACCCCTGTCCCCTCCCAGCCAGAAGTGCAGGGTTGGGTGTCCCCCCCAAGGTGCTGGGTGTCCCCCCCAAGGTGCTGGGTGCCCCTCCAGGGTGGTGGGTGTCCCCCCAGGGTGCTGGATGTCCCCCCAGGGTGCTGGATGTCTCCCCAGGGTCATGGGTGTCTCCCCAGGGTCATGGGTGTCTCCCCAGGGTGGTGGGTGTCCCCCCCAAGGTGCTGGGTGCCCCCCCAAGGGCGATGGGTGCCCCCTGCCCCCCGTGCCCCCTCCCCATGCCACGATGCCCCCTCCATCTCTCACCAGGGAGGTGCTGCCGGTGTCGGGGTCTCTGCTGCTCGAGGAGAGGGGACACAGATTCTGCTCCCCCAGCTCTGCCACCATCCCTGTCCCCGCCGTCCCTGCTGTCCCCAGGCCTCTGCCTCACTGACCAGGCAGGGCAGAGCCAGGGACTCCCCTCTCCTTGTCCTTTCCTGTCCCTTTCCCTCCACCTCACCCTGGCATCCCTCTGGCGCCCTCCCCTCTCCTAGCCCGACCACCGATGGGATCCTTCCCCTCTGCCCTTTTATACCGTCTTTGTTCATATGACAAGCACGTGGAAAACCAGAGCAGAGCTCGGAAAAAAGCTCCTTAAGATGCTTTAATTCAGTTTCCTGGATCCCATGACTGAGCTCGGCCTCTGAACGGGGTCTCATGACTGTAACACGCAGGCCCTGGCCATCAAAAGCCTCATTTATGCCCCAAAAGAGACTTAAACCCCTCTTGGCCGGTCACCCACCGTCCCCCACACCTGGCCTGGGCCCCCGGGACCCCCTGGCTGGGGGCTTCAAACCTCCCAGGTGACACCTGCCCTGACCCTGCTCCGCCCAGGAGGGACTCTGGGGACACTCGAGGCCTGGCTCTGTCCTTCCCCTCAAAGGAAAGGACTCTGCAGAGCCCCCCTCCAGTCTCCAGCCCCATCCAAAACTTCCCCAACTCAGCCCCCTTCCTGCCCCCCAACCACAGCACCAGTGGAGGGGACAGAAGAGCCATCCCAGAGGGGACAGCAGTGCCATCCCAGAGGGGACAGAAGAGCCATCCCAGAGGGGACAGAAGAGCCATCCCAGCAGGGACAAAAATGCCATCTCAGTGGAAACAGAAGTGCTGTCCTGGTGGGGATAGAAATGCCATCCCAGAGGGGACAGAAGAGCCATCCCAGTGGATTGTGGCCCAGTTTGGCCCCACCTTGAGGGATGCTGCACCCAGGACCCTGAGCTCCCACCTTTTGGGGCCCCTGCACTCTGGGAGGGGTGAGTGCCCCTCTCCCCCTCCTCGCTCCAGCTGCTCATGGCCGAGTGAGGATGGAGCCTGAGCCCTCCTGGACTGGGAGCAGTGACGGATCCAGACCTAAAAAGCCCCAATCCCTGATCCCATCCACAGCTCCCCACCACAGAGTTCACCCCAGTCACGTCCATCTCCCCTTTGAGATCCCACACACCCGAGCCGGCTCTAAATTTTGGGGCCCAGTCCGAACACTTCTGACCTTTTGCCTTTGTTTTAAACCGAGACACAGCAAATACAAGCCCGGGTCCCCCCTCCCCCCCAGCGGCCCCGGGCCGTCCCGCCGATGCTGAGCCGCCCGAAGCATCCGCAGCTCGACAGGAAACCGGCGGCGGTAAGAGGATAAAAATGCCCCGGGTGCGAACAGGAGGGCTCTGTGCCGGGATTAGGGAGCGCCGGGCGCTGCGGCAGCTTTGGCTTCCAGCACGTGCGAGCCCGGAGCTCCCAAACCACCCGGACACGGCGCGGTGGGATGGGGAAGGGAGGGGGCGGCTGGGGGGATGCGCAGGGAGAAGCTGGACAACCCAGCTCCTGGATCATAAAACCCCCCTGGAAAGGAGGGAGCCCAAACATCCACATCCTCTTCCAGCTCCTGCAGAGGCCCAGCGCTGAGGAAGGGTCTCCCCTCCTCCTCCGGAGCACCCTGGGGTGGTCCTGGGGGAGGGCAGGGGCGTGTGGGGAGCAAGGGGTCCTGTTCCTCCCCTGCCCCGGCCCCAAACAATGGGGGCATTGGAGTGCCGGGAGCGTGGGGGTGCAGCGAGGCCCCCCCGCCCGGCCCCGCATTCCCTAAGGAGATTATCCCTCCTCACATGAGCCGGCCGAGCCCCACGGCCTCGCGCCGGGGAGGAGGGGACACCAGGGGGACAGGGAGGGGGGACTGGCACTGGGGAGCCCAGCAAGGGTCCCCCTGAGCAGGAGAGGGGGCAGAGCAGCTTCGCTGTTTGGGCTGGGGCCAGGGATTGCCCACGAACACTTTGAAAT